AAACGATTTCGACTGCAATTTAGGCTTTTGCTTCGGAAGCGCTGCCCCTCGACCTCGCCTGGGCACTACCCCGAACCCGCCAAGGGGCACTGTCCCTTGGACTCTCGCGAGCTGACTGGGTAGCTCGATCCCCAACATAGTCAACGAAGTGGCAAACATGAAAGAATTAACTTCTGAAACATCTCTGCAAGGCATAATTTGGGTTGGATTTGCATCTAAAAACTCATAACCTCACTAAAATAAAAGTTGAACAAAATTATAACTGAAAGGAATTTTGCCAAACGAGATTGCCAATAATAAAAACCTAATAACGTGGAATTGACAAAATTTATTTTCAAAGTTGGTTTTATAGTAAAAAAATTATTATAAATTGTTACATTATTTTTATTTTTTTTGTTTAGTTTTATCTTTTATGATTTAAGTCATGGCAGTTTACTTTCCTAACATTTAAAAATGATTATATTGGCAACTAAGATCAAAATTCATGATTTTGCCTACCAATGAGTAAGCAAGACGGGGTTTGCCTCCATGGAACGAGTATTCACTGCTAGATGTAAGCCTGTAGGGCATTTTATTCGATGTTACATGTAATGCTTTTATTTAGTAATACTCTGATAAATGAATTAATGAATTGTTTTCTTTAAATAGTGCATGTCAATGACACATATATATATTGGGTTTATTTTGAGGGCGTTACAAAACGTCTCCAATTGTGATAAAAAAAACCACGGACAAAAGCCACAAAACAATCCACTAAGAAGATATAAAGGAATTACACAAGTGTACTCTTAATTACTTAGCGAATCAACGCCCGAATCGAATCGACCCCTATGTGCCTCTTCTAGCCCTGTCGGAATTATCTTGCCCAACGTTGAATCCACAACGCCGATGTTGAATCCACGACGATGTGCCAGTCCGGAATCCACCAAAGCTTTAGGCCCAAATTTTATGGAATTCACCGAAGAACAACTCTATCTTTTTTTTGAATAAAACGAACTAAACAAACCCTTTGATATAATCTACTCAATTCATGATTAAATTCTCACAGATATCAAAGGAAATAAGTAAAGAAGCTTTAGATGAAAACCCTAATACCCAAAAAGAAGATCTGACAGTCTTCACCTTAAAAATTGATGAACCACATATTTATAGAAAATAGGGCTGCGATCTCCGCTCGAGCGCAAGAATGACCACTCGAGCAAACTGACTAAAACGCGTGTGACTAAACAGGGTCTATGCTCGACCACAGGAATGGCCGCTCGAGCGGAAAAAAAACTTTTAGTACTTTTACAGGCGAGTGAAATTTCTGAAAGGTCGTGATCTCTGTTCGAGCATAGGAATAGCAGCTCAAGCGGAAAAACGATTTCGACTGTAATTTAAGCTTTTGCTTCGGAAGCGCTGCCCCTCAACCTCGCCTGGGCACTACCCCGGACCCGCCAAGGGGCACTGTCCCTTGGACTCTCGCGAGCTGACTGGGTAGCTCGATCCCCAACATAGTCAACGAAGTGGCAAACATGAAAGGATTAACTTCTGAAACATCTCTGCAAGGCATAATTTGGGCTAGATTTGCATCTAAAAACTCATAACCTCACTAAAATAAAAGTTGAACAAAATTATAACTGAAAGGAATTTTGCCAAACGAAATTGCCAATAATAAAAACCTAATAACGTGGAATTGACAAAATATATTTTGAAAGTTGGTTTTATAGTAAAAAAATTATTATAAATTGTTACATTATTTTTATTTTTTTTGTTTAGTTTTATCTTTTATGATTTAAGTCATGGCAGTTTACTTTCCTAACATTTAAAAATGATTATATTGGCAACTAAGATCAAAATCCATGATTTTGCCTACCAATGAGTAAGCAAGACGGGGTTTGCCTCCATGGAACGAGTATTCACTGCTACTTACAACACCTTCATTCACTCAGCTTGTTACTTCGGAATTGTTCAGCGAACACGTGGAGTTGGACGCCTCTTTATAATGTAGCGTAGGTAGACTAATTATTGTAAATGACTCTCTAAGTAGTTTAGAGGTAGTTATATTGCTACCAACTTCTTTGTTTGTTTGATTGCAGGGGCACCTTAGCACTTTATTAATAACATAGAAAGTGGCAAGCCAAAACCTACTCTTAACAAGTTGCTGAGTTCGGCTTTTGTAACCTATGTGATTTGTGGATTGAATTTTAAATATCATCAAATATTTCTTTCAATTTTACAGTAAGTGTGAAATATGTGACAAATATAGAGGCTATGTTTGTTTAGGCGAAATAAATTAAATTAGATTAGCATTCTCATGACTAATAATTTTAAGATTATGAGTTCTTTTGGATTGTGTATCCTATTTTATATTTGGATTGAGTTAAGATTATAAAGAGAGATTAATAAAATATTATCCAATCCAATATTTGTTTAAGGGGATTGGAATGGATAGAACATGGCAGGACATGAGACATCTAATATATTGACTATAATACCCCTATTATAATTATTGTAAAATTTTGCATTAGCATGTGTTATAATTTTTAAAAAGCAAATTTCCTTATTGTTGCTCCACATCCATTTTGATTAATTTGAACAAAATTTAACCCATTTTTCATTAATAGAAAAAATAAAAAGTCATTCAACTATAAAATTTATAAATACATAAGCAACCATTAAAAAAAATACAATACTATTTTAATCATCTAACCATTCATTGCACAAATTCAAAAAAGTCTTTATTTGAACAAAATTTAGCCCCCACTTTTTTTAATAGAAAAATAAAAAATCATTCAACTATAAAATTTATATATACACAAGCAACCATTAAAAAATATGCACTACTATTTTAATCATTAATTGCCCAAATTCAAAAAAGTGTTCATTTGAACAAAATTTAACCCCATTTTTTTTTTAACAGAAAACATCAAAAATCATTTAACTATAAAATTTATATATAAAAGCAACCATTAAAAAATATGCACTGCTATTTTAATCATTCAACCATTCATTGCCCAAATTCAAAAAGACATTCATTTAAGCAAAATTTAACTCTTTTTTTTTCGAACAAAAAAATATCAAAAATATTCAACTATGAAATATAGCTATTTAGAAAAATAATGATATCAGAAAATATAAAAAATGGAGCAAATATATTTATGAGAAGATACATACAAAATACCAATTGTAGACATGTTGAATTAAAAGTCTATGGTGGTAATTAATGATTACTATCATTCATACTTGTTATAAATAATATTATTGTTCTTAGATCATCTCCAGCAAAGAATATATCAATATCATGTTCTTAGTTACATTTTGAAATTATTTTGGATTTTTTTTAATATTTAAAATTTTTCTTAATTTTTTAAAATATTTACAAATTAAAAAAAATATTTTATGGATTTTTCTAAATATTCCAAGTATTTTTAAAATATTTAAATGAAGTAAAAAATGAAATCTATTAGTTATGATTTCCTAAGACAACAATAGCACAAGAGAGAAGATAGAGACGAAACTCGACAAAATCAAACTTCTTCAAATATATATACATATAGTTAGGTTTAATTTGGTCATTTGATGAGTTAGTCCAGATTTTAGCTTAGTCCACCAATTTATATCCTATCACCATTTGTAAGATTGAATAATTCATCATATGTGAAATAACATATCAGGATGAATTATTAGTCCATACTTTAATTTTTTAACAAAACATCGAATAAATAATTTTGTTAGACTATTAGTCTAATTCCAAGCACATACCCACCCAAACAAACATGATCAAAGGGTTTATATGCTCATTTTTTTTAATTTTAAGAGGATAAATCACACATAACATAAAGTACATAAGATTAAAGTGTAGTGCTTCCCAAACAAATGAAGAAAATATAAGAGCATTTTAATATTTTTTTATTAAATCATTAATAATTCTGACCGTACATTTTAATTTAAAAATCACAAAAAAATATATGATCATTTTTAAATATTAAAAAAAAGTAAACCGTATACAATCAAAATCACAAAAATAAAATAAAATTTGTATTAATTTTTTTCTTAAAACTCAACTAAAATAGCTAGTTATCAAAGGAGGGAAGGGACAGGTATCTACGTGGAAAATACAAAACAAAAGCGCACGCACTTCCATGTGAGCAATAACCCTTGTCCATACCTCTGCTTTTCTCTTTGTAATGTTCTTGGACCTATTTCCATACTCACTACTACCATTGAACGTTAGGGTTTTGAAAAATCAAAACAAACAAACAAACAAACAAACAACCAATCAACAACAAGAAAAGGAAGCTTCTCACTGTGAATCTCATTCCCTGTCCTTTTCTTTCTTCTTGGTATCTCTCTCTCTCTCTCTCTCTCTCTCTCATCTTTTATTATCTTCCTTATTGGCCAACCAGTTGTGTATTGATTTTTTATATTTTTCCCCTTAGTTTTCTCTGGAAACAAGCAAGGGTATATGATTGTAGTGTGCTCGTTTTGAATCTTAAATTAAGAAATAAAAAGTGATTTTGCAGAACCCAAATGGCATGCCAGGCCGTTCATTCATGGACATTTAGTGGGTTAGTGGGTGCTTTTCTTGATCTTGCTATTGCTTATCTCTTACTCTGTGCATCCACACTTGCATTTTTCGCCTCCAAATTTCTGGGTTTTTTGGGTCTTTTCTTACCATGTCCTTGTAATGGCCTATTTGGTACCTCCAATAGCAATTACTGCTTGAAGAGGCTGTTAATTGATTGCCCAATTGAGACAGTCTCTTCTGTTCAACTGTCTGTGAACACAAAGTTTCCCTTTGATACAATTTGTGGAAAAAACCGAGATTGCCAAATGAATTTGAAGTTAATTAGAGATCAAAACAATTGTGTTGATGGGTTTGTTGAAATGGAAGGCGAAGCGTCTTGTAGCTCAATATCGGGTGCTAGGAAGTTGCAAAATGTGGTTGAGAGGGACTTGATTTTGAGGAATGAATCGGTTAGGGTGTTTGATGTAGTGAATTCATCAGTTCACAACTGTCTGTGAACACGAAGTTTCCCTTTGATACAATTTGTGGAAAAAACCGAGATTGCCAAATGAATTTGAAGTTAGTTAGAGATCAAAACAATTGTGTTGATGGGTTTGTTGAAATGGAAGGCGAAGCGTCTTGTAGCTCAATATCGGGTGCTAGGAAGTTGCAAAATGTGGTTGAGAGGGCCGTGATTTTGACGAATGAATCGGTTAGGGTGTTTGATGTAGTGAATTCATCAGTTCATGTCAAGAAGGGAAGGTTTAATCTCAAGGGTAAGGGGATTGTAAATCAGAGGCCAAGGAATGGTCTTAGGCGACATCTGAAAGGTCTTGCTGATTATGCAAAAGTTTCGCCTGTGTCGTTTGATCCTTCATATGCAGATGATTGGTCACGTTCTAGCGTCAATCGTAAAGGGAATAATGAGATTGAATGCAGTTCACTGCCTGTCAATTCTGGAGCTGATGCTAATCACTGTAATTGTGAGTGTTGATTTTGATCTCGGTTTGTATTCTATCCATTTTCTTTATTTCATCCAAAACTTTGTACCTTAACTGAAAAGAAAAAGAAAAAAAAAAGAAGAGAGGCATTAGTGTTTCATTTTGTGGACTCATGTATCTGTGTATGCATTTTCACATTTTTAAAATCAACGGAAGTTGTGCTATAATCTTACAGCTGAATAAAGAGATTGAAGAAGCTTAGTGTTGTATGTGCACTAACTTACAAAAATTGTTCCCTGTATATGCCATGTATGTAAAGTCACAATTTCCACTGTCAATGCATATATCCTGCACCTGAGTGAAGAGCGAAATTATGTAGATTTTTTAAAAAATCTTGGCCATTCTTGGCAGAGGAATGAGAAGGGATTTAAAACCATAAAGGGATGTGAAATTCCCTGGTTTTGAAATTCTTTGGTTAGTTTTAAAAAAAGGATTTGTAAATTTTCCTGGGGTTTTCAAGGACAGACTTGGAGGTCCCATATACACATATTAAAAGCTTTTGAAGGAGTTATATTTTAAAATCCTTAAAGCAAAGAACAGAAAAACTAGAAAAGTACAGAGCCCTTCAGATGATCAAAATTATTCATATATGTGAGTGTGTGTGTGTGTAAGATGGCTTGTAAGGGAATTATTTTAATTTTTTATATTGGTTAAACTCACCCCTTAGGAGCCATTCAGGTGATCAAAATGCATTTAAAAAAATGAAAAAGAAAGAGAAAAAAGAAAAAAGAAATGAAGAGGTTGTTCTGGTTTTAAACAAATGGACTGCCATACCACCAATACATATATGGCAAGTACAATTTTTATGTCTCTTTTTCAATTAACACTTTAATCTGTTAGCTTGAATGTTTAAACCTCAATGATTATTCCTTGTGCCCTCAGGGCATGAGCTTTGCACCCATTTCTAAACAATGTCTTGGCATGTGTTGCCATGACTTCTTGCTTGGTGTATCAGATTTTACATGGAATCTTACACAACATAAATGGAAGCATTCATAGATCCATGCTTAGGTTATTACTAATACGATGCATGACAACGCTATTGTGTGTGGTATGTGATTTAGATGATGAGGACGCTCTAGTTGTTAAGAATTTTGGGGATAGAGCTTCACATGGCTTTCAGTTGGATGAAACTCTTCATGAAAAGAAACTCACTGAGAGAAGTGAATCATTCTATGAAGAGGCAAAGAGTAATGTGCAGAAGGAACTGGGTTATGAGGGTAATGAGAAAAATGCAATCAGAATCTTGGAACAGGCACTTGAAGAAGAGCATGCTGCTCATGCTGCTCTTTACCTTGAGCTTGAGAAGGAGAGAAGTGCTGCTGCTACAGCTGCAGTTGAGGTCATGGCTATGATACTGCGTCTACAAGACGAGAAGGCATCCATAGAAATGGAGGCTTGGCAATACCAGAGGATAATAGAAGAAAAATCTGCTTATGATGCTGAAGAAATGAACATCCTTAAAGAAATTCTTGTGAGGAGACAGAAAGAGAAGCATTTCTTGGAAAGGGAAGTTGAAGCTTACAGGTGGATGATTCATATTGGAAATTAATAGTTACAAGATGACATTCAGTATATGGTGAACACACAGAGAGAACAGGCTTATGCTCCAACGGCTTAGTTAATCCATTGACAAGAAGGAAATTGTACAGGATAAAAGTTCAGTTAATGAGGTATTGTCTATTGATAAGCAAAACTGTACACCCTTGCTCTTGGAGAGGAATTATGAATTTCCGGATGGGATGAAGAAGCTAATTTTCAAGCAAGGAGATGTAGAGAAATCTATAGTTTCTGATCCGCAGAAAAATTTGATGTCAGCAATTGACAATGAAAGATTGAAAATTGACATGGAAGTTGAGTGAATCGGAGAGAGGATAAGCAAAGTTCAGTTAATGAGGACAGAAGCTCAACTTCTCTGTGGACTATCGGGAAAGGGAAAATTTTCAACTGCAACTTGTAGAAGATATAGCATAACAACTTCGAGAGATTTGACAGCTAACAGACCCTAGAAAGGCCTTGTGTGAAGCTTCTTTGCCCCTGCCATCCTCTAAGGTTTGATGTTAGATTTCTCTTTCATCATTATCTTCGTCTATAGCAAACACAGTAAGGCTGTGTTTAGATTATGCATTTGGGTAAGGATTTGGAAAGAGAAAGAAAAAGGTGAGGAAATGGAGAAAGAATTTATGTCATATTTCATGCAAATTTCCTTCACCTTTTCCTTTCCAAAGACCTATCCAAATCCATTGTCCAAACACAACCTAAGTGCACAAAGTTACAATGCTTACTCTTTTGAAGACCAAAACTTCGCCCTCCTCCCTGCTCCCACCACCATACTAATATTCCCTACAAACTTATTCCCACTCCTTTCTAACACCTTTCCAAATATGCCATAAGAAATAGATACTTCTAGAGAGTTCCAATCCCCTAAATCACACCCATACTTCAGAGCTACTACCATTCTGTTAGGGAAAATCGATGTGATTCCCACAAGTAAATCAATCAATGGGAATAAAAACTAATGCGGAAAAATTAAATCAAAGGCAACACAAGAATTTTTACGTGGTTCCCTCAATGTGAGGTACGTCCACGGGATCGATATCCCTCTCACCCACAAAACTTTTCCTCCGCTTCCCCAATAAGCTTGATTAGGCATTTCTAACTTCTTGATACCAAGTCCCTATCCTATGATAGGAGTACAAATTGAGTCCTAGTCTACCAAATGGTTACTTGAATTCCTCCTCCATTCTACCCTACAAAAAATTGCTCCATTGCTTTTCTAATCTCTCACCCTATTTGGTTCATTGGAAAGAGATGGAATGAAACGGATCCCCTATGGAATGATCATTTTCTTACAATGGTGATTGACGATTTCAGTTGCAATGCATATTTCATTATGTTTTTTAGTCAACCAAATATGTGAATGGATATTTTGATGGAATGATTATTCTGTTCGACTTCATTCTAGTGAACCAAACACTATCTTAGCAACAGTGATAGTAATAGCATACGAGGACATAAAATGTGTAGGAAAACTAGATAAAGTAATGTTGATTGGATTACTTAGTAATACTCTACAACCAAGTATAACGGCTAGCGAGTCAATGCTAGATACCTCCTCTTTGCGCATGAAGGCTCTCTTTATATCTTCACCAACTAGTTCTTCCCTTCAGTTTTTGTTCCTAAAGGTTCTTCTGGCACTCTTTATGTTCCCTGATTAACTGTTGTTGGCTACCAGAATTTTTGTTATTAGCATAATTTTAAAAAGCTTCCATGACTGTTATTGCCATCTGTTACGGCTGCTATGGCGGTGTGACAAAATTCACATCCGTAATGGCCGCCACTGCTGCGTGAAGGTCGTAATGGCCATTACGTTGCCGTTACAATTTCGTTGCTGCCATTACAATCATTACGCTTCTATTTTTATTTTAGTTTATTTTATTTTATTTTTTATAGGTTTTGTATATAGGGCCATTTTTCTCATTTCTCTTTTTTGTAGTTGTTAAAATCGCACAAAAAGAATATAGAACTTATGTGAAAATCTTAGATCTACAAGTTTTGAATGTCCAATCTTCAAGTTCTACAAGACTTGAGTTGATATTGAAGTTAAATGAGCTTACTTCTTCCTCTCTCTCTCTCTCTCTCTCTCTCTCTCTCTCTCTCTCCATACTTCATCACCTTTTTGTTGAAAAGCTTTCATTAATCTCATTTGATTCTTTGAATATTAACTTATATTATATCTATATTTGCTCTTTGATCAAATTTATTCATTTGACCTTTGCCGCCATTACGATCATATGCTTCTATTTTTTTTTTAAATAGATTTTGTATATAAGGCCATTTTTGTCTAGTTGTTAAAATTGCGCAAAAAGGATATAGAACTTATGCAAAAATCTTAGAGCTACACGTTTTGAATGTCCAATATTCAAGTTTTACAAGACTTGAGTTGCTATCAAAGTTAAATGAGCTTACTTCTCTTTTAAGTTGCTATCAAAGTTAAATGCGCTTACTTCTCTCTCTCTCTTTCTCTCTCTCTCTCTCTCTCTCTCTCTCCAAACTTTCATTAATTTCTCATTTGATTCTTTGAATATTAATATATTATATCTATATTTGCTCTTGGGTCAAATTTATTGAACAAAATTTGTATATCATGTTAAGTATTTTTACATTAGTATGTTGATATTTTGTATTATGTATGAACTTATGTTTATGAGATTATCATTTTTAATATTAAACATGTTTCGTTTTTTTCTTCTTAACAAGTGGGAAGTTATCTACAAGTATAATTAGTAAAGTAAAGAAAATTAAATACATCCAACAATAGGAAAAATCCCTATAGTGACTTAAACCTTACATAAAAATTAGTACACATATTGGATCATATTTAAAAACTAAACAAAACAAACAAAACACACGGAAAATTATTATAAACCTCACTAAATGTGATTTTGAAATAAAAACATGTTTGTTAGTATGTTTTCCTGAAGTTGTGCAAGGAATAAAAAAATTTATGGCTCCAGTCGACTGCCACAACTATTATGCTACAGCCGTTACTTTCTGTAGCCGCATCAACGCTATCGTTACGTTATGGTAGCTGCCACCTTTACTTAAAGCCTTGGTTATTAGGTAATGCCAAAGAAAAGGTGCTGTCAAAGTGTACCTTTAGGAGTTCACAAGCTGATCAAAAAAAAAAAAAAAGTGTACCTTTAGGAGTTCACAAACACTCATAAAGTATGGATTTTGTTGTTTCATAGATACATATAGGCTCTTTTTGGTTCCCCGGAACAGTGAGGTAAAACGAAAAAGAAAGGGAAAGGAAATGAAGAGGGAAAAAGAGGAAGAAAAAGTAAAAACATAAAGAATCCGTTTATTAGAAATGTGATTTTGATTTGATTGCGGGTTTCCTATGTCCTCATTTGGTGGTTAGTCATGTTTCCCCATTTTCCTTACTGTTTTATAATGATAACTCGGTTACTTTAAAACAAGAAAATGCCCTCAAAATATTGTCCTGCACAATTTTCCAATGCAGCCAAACAAAGAAAAAGTAAAATTCCATTTGATTTCTTTTTCCTCATAATTTGCAAGTCTCAAAAAGTATTTGAATGCTTGAATATTTTCATCTGCTTGGAAATTATTATTTTAGATTAAAAAGTTGGGCTTAATTACCTTGTATTTGTTACTCCTTTAGGGTTAGTCATCTGGGTGGGCTCAACGTATTGGTTGTCTTCAGACATTCGTGTCATCCATAGATCTGCTGCATTCATTTTAACAGGAATGTGGGATCCTCTCTAACAAAAGACATCATCATCGAAGTCCTCTGCAGTATGCAGTTCACTGGATCGTATTCTTGGGATCCTAGAATTGCTGCAACAAGTGGACAAGAGGTATGCAGTTTCTAGTTTTCTCTCATTAGTGTTGTAAATCCCTTCTACACAGTACCAACGCAGGGATACCACTTGACAAATAGGTCTTCTGGATGGCACCGGTTCAATTTTTTGTATGAAGTTCGTAAAAAGGCAGTGTGTTATGACCAGAGAGTATTTATTATTTATTCATTATAATTTCTTAAATTTCATTACACACACATCGAATAAAATCATATCAATATTATCAGAAATGTTATACAACAGCAGTTTATGTTTGAATCATTTGGTACTTTCCCCGTCAGTTCTAGGTCTGTCTGTAATCACATATGTGGCATGATATTTAGAAACATGAAAGTAAAATATTGCTTTGATTTTTGCATTTGGGTGCTGGTTGTATGTTCTCGAGTATGTAAAAACATTATGCATTTTTGGTGTAGCAATGCAAATAAAATCCAACATTTGATGGTTGATATACATGGTTAGAATTAGAATCACTCCAGGAAAAGTTGTCAATACTTTAAAGAAAGAAAGACTCTAATATTAGCGATTACTCTTTTTCTTTCCCTCTCAACACCAAATTTATTTGCAGTTATGCTTGATAATTTTGGATAAACCGATGCATTTGTCAGCGGAGTTAGGTAAACATAGTGGTGTAAAAATGGCCTGGCCTGGCCCGTCCTAGGCCCGCTTGGCTCTCGCAAAAAATTGGACCAGGCCGGGGTGGCCTAATTCCAAAAAATATAGGCCCAGACCCATGGGTAATTGGGTTTTGGGCCTCAGGACTAACTTTTTTTTAAAAAAAATTTCACCAAAATTGCTTGCAAGTGATGTTGGGCATCGGAGTGGGTCTAGACCAGGCTCATCGGGTTGGGCCTCAGGCAGGCTTCAGGCTGGCGGGCCATTTTTATACTCCTAGGGAAACCTAGGTGAATAGTTGTAAGTCCTTTTGTCTAAGTCCTGTATTATTGAATTTTCTTAGTAGATTTTTGTTGGGTGTTGAGACTCTGATTTTTACCCTTTTGAATTTCGCGCATAAAATCTTGGTGTTTTTATGTGATTCCTTATATGTGTTTAATCGTTTAAAGGCTAAAAATTGAGTAATTAATAAGAATTTTTATTAATTGGCTTTCAGTTGGGCCTGCAAAAAAATAATACAAATCATGTTTGTAGTTGATGATGCAAATGGGACTTATAGGAATTATCTATACTACCTATACTACTACATGAGGAGCCTGAAATGGAGGGTATGTAAGATTGCACATCCTCTGGTTGGATTCGTCGAGAACGGGTTAGTCGTCGGTGTTTGGATAGGTCCTCGTTCTCCAAGTGAATGTCTACCCCAGATGATGATCCATTGTTAGCGAGCTCAGTTGGGCCTGCAAAAAAATAATACAAATCATGTTTGTAGTTGATGATGCAAATGGGACTTATAGGAATTATCTATACTACCTATACTACTACATGAGGAGCCTGAAATGGAGGGTATGTAAGATTGCACATCCTCTGGTTGGATTCGTCGAGAACGGGTTAGTCGTCGGTGTTTGGATAGGTCCTCGTTCTCCAAGTGAATGTCTACCCCAGATGATGATCCATTGTTAGCGAGCTCAGTTGGGCCTGCAAAAAAATAATACAAATCATGTTTGTAGTTGATGATGCAAATGGGACTTATAGGAATTATCTATACTACCTATACTACTACATGAGGAGCCTGAAATGGAGGGTATGTAAGATTGCACATCCTCTGGTTGGATTCGTCGAGAACGGGTTAGTCGTCGGTGTTTGGATAGGTCCTCGTTCTCCAAGTGAATGTCTACCCCAGATGATGATCCATTGTTAGCGAGCTCAGTTGGGCCTGCAAAAAAATAATACAAATCATGTTTGTAGTTGATGATGCAAATGGGACTTATAGGAATTATCTATACTACCTATACTACTACATGAGGAGCCTGAAATGGAGGGTATGTAAGATTGCACATCCTCTGGTTGGATTCGTCGAGAACGGGTTAGTCGTCGGTGTTTGGATAGGTCCTCGTTCTCCAAGTGAATGTCTACCCCAGATGATGATCCATTGTTAGCGAGCTCAGTTGGGCCTGCAAAAAAATAATACAAATCATGTTTGTAGTTGATGATGCAAATGGGACTTATAGGAATTATCTATACTACCTATACTACTACATGAGGAGCCTGAAATGGAGGGTATGTAAGATTGCACATCCTCTGGTTGGATTCGTCGAGAACGGGTTAGTCGTCGGTGTTTGGATAGGTCCTCGTTCTCCAAGTGAATGTCTACCCCAGATGATGATCCATTGTTAGCGAGCTCAGTTGGGCCTGCAAAAAAATAATACAAATCATGTTTGTAGTTGATGATGCAAATGGGACTTATAGGAATTATCTATACTACCTATACTACTACATGAGGAGCCTGAAATGGAGGGTATGTAAGATTGCACATCCTCTGGTTGGATTCGTCGAGAACGGGTTAGTCGTCGGTGTTTGGATAGGTCCTCGTTCTCCAAGTGAATGTCTACCCCAGATGATGATCCATTGTTAGCGAGCTCAGTTGGGCCTGCAAAAAAATAATACAAATCATGTTTGTAGTTGATGATGCAAATGGGACTTATAGGAATTATCTATACTACCTATACTACTACATGAGGAGCCTGAAATGGAGGGTATGTAAGATTGCACATCCTCTGGTTGGATTCGTCGAGAACGGGTTAGTCGTCGGTGTTTGGATAGGTCCTCGTTCTCCAAGTGAATGTCTACCCCAGATGATGATCCATTGTTAGCGAGCTCAGTTGGGCCTGCAAAAAAATAATACAAATCATGTTTGTAGTTGATGATGCAAATGGGACTTATAGGAATTATCTATACTACCTATACTACTACATGAGGAGCCTGAAATGGAGGGTATGTAAGATTGCACATCCTCTGGCTGGATTTGTCGAGAACGGGTTAGTCGTCTGCGTATGGGTAGGCCTTCGTTCTCCAAGTGAATGTCTGTCCCAGATGATGATCCATTATTACCGAGCTCTTTTTGACCTGCAAAAAAAGAATACAAATCATGTTTGTAGTTGCTGATGCAAACAGGACTTTAGGATTTATCTATGAGCAATGCTATATCTACTTAAAATTTATTAACAATCTTACTAAAAACATTCATGTCCAAATATTTTTGAATTTTTAAATGTCATTGTTTTTTCGACAACCAATTGCATTTGGCCTCTTGTATTTTTAGTAAGAGTGTTAGTATATATAGAATTATTCATTATCTATACTTTAGGCGTTCTCTTTATGTCATGTGTCCTTTTATATTTGAAAAAAATAAATAAAATAATATGCATAAGACTTGAAACCTTGACCTTGAGTGTAAAGAAGAAAGCTCATAATGCTTAAAGTGATATACGTATTATTACACTATTTAATTTAATTTAATTTAATTAATTAATTAATTTATTTATTTTTATCATTTATTCAAATTACACATGCATCATGTGTCAACTGCTAGTATATAATGTGTATAGGGGTGTAAAAATGGCCTGCCCACCTGAAGCTTGCCGTGGCTCGACTAGGCTCGAGCCTAGCCTGAACCCCTGGGCTTGGGCTATGTATTTTTTTGGCTCAGTTCACTCTGGGCCCACTCTGAAGCCCACTTGAGGCTTAGCTTGCTCGACCCATCCGAGGTCCAACCTTATTTTAAAGCTATTTTGGTGAAAAAAATGAAAAAAAAAAACTATCGGGCCAGGCCCAGGGGCAAATTTTCCTAGGGCTTGGGCCTAGGTTGAGATTTTGCGGGAGTGGCCTAACCTAGCCTGCTACGCCTGAAAGTCACGCCAGGCCAAAATTACACCCCCTATATGTATGGAACTAGCTTCTTTTCTCTACTCCAGTTGGGCTTGTGAAACCTATCAAAGTAGTTATTTATTTTGTAGGTCTATGTGTGTGTGTATATATATATAGGGTTAGGTTAGAGTACACATATACAAGTTATGATTTTTTCATTTTATTATCACAAATCTCATCAATAAATCTTTTTCAGTTATAGCTAAAAAAGAATAATGAGTCATACCAAAACACCACATAAGAAATAATAATTTTTTTTTTGAAAAATGCTATGGTGTACTCTTCTATAGGTGTGCATACCATATGCATCCTACCACTAAATGTGTAACTTTATCACAAAATTTCGTAGCATCAACTCTAAAATGCATAATCTCGCCATAAATTGATGTCACACAAAATATCGTAACTAAGCCACAAATTTTTGCGACATCAATAACAAAATTTTGAACATTTTGTTAAGTCAATTTGTGGTGAGATTACACATTTTGTGATTGATATTAGAAATTTTGTGGTAAAATTATATATTTTGTGGTAGGGTGCATTATAGGAGAAGCATAACCAAATAATAAATTATATACGAATGTTTTGATTTAATATAAGATAGCTTAGAAATATTTTGATTTGAGGTTCAAAAGGTGAAAATTTTGCTATGCAATGGCAATGGATTCAACAAATACTCGTGCAAAACAACCAGTTGGACTAGATAAAACTAGAAAGTCCTGATTTTGTCAACTGGAAAGAAATTCTTATAGGAAAATCATTGAATATAAAGGGCGCTTGGAAGTAGAAATTCTTATGGGAATTGGACTCACCCGAAATTCCAACTGTGGATGATGATGATGATGATCCATCTCTCATCGGTTCTTCAACTAGGGTGCTGCTGCTGCTGCTATAGTTCTCTGACAGCATTGAGTACACGCGACCCATGGTGGGTCGTAGTTCTGGATCAAATTGTGTGCACATCACCCCAATCTGTACACACAATTGTACTTGATCAAGGACAGCCGATGGTATCAATTTCCGGTCCATAAACTGTGACACCTTTCCTTCCTTGTAGAGCTCATTTGCCTTCGTCAACAACGAATAATCATGTCACAATTCAGCAACAAGCTTAATCAGAGACACCTCCCTTGTATGATAATGGCTAATTGCAAATCAAAGTTCAAATTAAAAATGTGGATAAGGTGTGCTTACACTATCCCGTAGACTTTGAGCATTGGAAGACTGGGCATGGGAAAGCCAATACTTCTGACCGCTTGTCAGCTCCAAAACCACTACCCCAAAGCTGTATATGTCCGCCTTCGGAGAGATGTGTCCATAATTCTGGTACTCGGGAGCCGCATACCCACTGATTCCATGTACAAGCATATATATGTACAACAAATCAAGTTTTAAAATGTTTGGTTTGGTCAAAAAAAAAAAAAAAAAAAAAAAAAGACAGAAAAAGGTTTTTGAAAACTCAACAAAACACTGATCGGATGGATTTAATTTTTTTTTTCTTTGAAAAAAGAGTAGGATTTAGTGACAACATAAATAGAATTTAAATTATATCCTAAATCAAATAACTAATAGGAAAAATAAGAAAAATTATATGCTTAACACATACACGGTACCGGCAGCTTCACTAATATTAACATGCGTTTGATCTTGAGGGAAGAGCCTGGCCGTGCCAAAATCAGCAATTTTGGGGACCCAATTTTCATCTATTATGATGTTGGCGGGTTTGATGTCACAGTGGATAATTACACTGTGTGATCGTTCATGAAGGTAAAGCAAGCCCCGGGCAACACCTATGATTATGGCATATGTTCGCTTCCAGTCAAGCGTGTTTGCTCTACCAGTCTTTGAATCTAGACCATCAAAAATAGTATAAAAGTTTGAGATTAGTTACTGCGTTGAAAATGGTGACTTAATAAAAAAATTGTAGTAAGATACAATTAATTTAGGGCAAATTATACAAATAGTCCATATAGTTTGGAATTCGTGAAAAGTCAGGAACCAAAATAACACAAGTCTCAAACTATAGGGACTACTAGTGTAGTTCACCCATTAATTTTGTGTTCACTGCGAATTAGGAAAGGACAGATGTGCGAATCTATGAGTATATCCTTCCCAGAAGGTGTATTGACTTTATGTGTAATTTTTATTCTTAGATCAAATGAATGATTGTTATTGTTCCTCATGTTTTGATCCCACATCTACTTACCCTTATCATTTTAAATTACAACAAATATTTATTTATTTATTATTTTAATAACTTCAGATTATTTAAAATTGCAAGTCTATGTGAGAGTCTTTTATCGCAATCTTCGCAAGATAATAATGGTGGTCTAACATATTAATCAAACATATAGGTTATTTAATAAAATAAAAAAAAATACAGATGAAAAACTTCTCAAAAAGTTATATGAAAGTTAATGTAGGAATTTGAATAATTTCTCAATTACAGTAGAAAAATTTCATAAAATTGAATTTAAAGTAAAACTTGCCTAGTCTTATAGTTGGGAAAATAACGTTGAGAATTTGTGTGACAGTTAGGCATGTGTAATTTTAAAATAATAAACTTAGAATGAATCTTTTTGATTTTCGAAGACCTTACATGTTATAACTCAACTTGCAATTAAAAATACAGTAGGTGATATTAGTACTTACTAAATAGAAGGTAATCAAGGCTGCCATTTCTTGCAAAATCAAATACAAGCAGCATCTCTTCACGGTGTGAACAAAAACCCAGAAACTTGACAATATTTTGGTGGTGTGCAGACCCCAGCAGCAGTTTCATCTCGTTCAGGACAAGTTCCGTTCCCTTGTCTGAGATCAGCAAAGGTCTCTTCACTGCGATCTCTCTCCCCTAAGCATAAATGGCAAGTAAAAACAAATTCCACCTTTGGATTTGATTCCGTCTTAAGAACTGGAGCTTGGAAAAGATCAAGAGGATCTGTACGTGTCCAATCTTGAAAAGCTGCTGGAAAATCTACACTAGATTTGCACAAACAAAAAAATTCCACGTTCAGAATTCCAAGACATTAAGGTTTTGAAGCTCAGCGAGAAAAGCATCAATTATACCTATTAAATTCCAAGTTTCAACGTAAACTGGTGAAATAGTAATAGCTCACAGGCTAAGATGCAACATATAAATGTAAAGATGGCAAATCCAAAAATTTATAAAGGATTATAGTTCATCCAGAAGTGATGTTCAACCATGGTCTTTCATTAACTTAAAAAACAAGGAAACCTGAAAACATGTCCAATGACCGATGTCACTTTATAATGAGCATGAAATCCCAGAAACGTTCCATCAAATTCATGGACCTCAGTACTGCCCCTTCGTGTTGACATCTGCAGCAAAATATGCCTCAAGTCATTGTTACCTTCAATTTGTCATCAAAAAGACAGCACTGAAATAAATCGAGAATACTGCTTGAAAGGATACCAGAGGTGGAGAACCGAGAGGAAATTGCCATTAAAATTGAAGTTGATGATAGTATACAAACAAACATGCATATACACCAAAAATTACAACGTCCATACTGCAGGCCTACTTTCAGTTTAAGAGATATGCAAAGTTAAACTTCTACCTAAAAATTGAAAGTGTCCTAGAGAGGGTGAATAGATGTCCTAAAGAGGGGGTAAATAGGACACTAAAATTTCTATAAATTTTTTGAGCCTATTTCAAATTTTTAGGTACTTGTCAAACTTGATATTTGACTTGTCGTAAGCAACTTAAGTATTTGGTTGGGTAGAGCAATTTATTTTCTTCAATCAAGTTTACAACCACAACCTAGGCCAACTTCTAAATATGGTTCTCCTTCAATCTAAATTTTTGACCAACGAAAGGTCAATTTTCAATTATGTACTCAATCACAATATTTATTTTTCACATGGGAGCACAACTAATGGCTCATGCATTTATAGTTAATCAACTTTCAAGACAAGCTAATGCATGAATCACAATCATCTCAATAGCATGAAGAGATAAATAAAAAAATAGTAATAAAGCTCATAAACTAAAGAGATGCACACAAGATTCTATAGGGGTTCACATATTTGCCTACATACACATACACTCTTGGCTCCTCACTGACGTAACTCAACTAACACAGAACACGGGTTTTCGATAGCCACACCCAAAACAACCACCACGAAATTGCTAACCTAAACACTTCACTATAGTATAAATCTAGACAATGGACTTCAAGAAGAGAACCAATCCTAAAGACCAAAATGTCTATAACGGAGACTAGTGTGGCGTGTGATATATAATAATGTACCAAATACACTAAAGGGACGACATATATACCATCCACAAGTGGAAGAGCTGCAAGACTACTCCTTGGAGTGAGCTCATCTGCAACTTGAGTTGAAAGTTGAAGGCTATTCTCACCCTCCAAGAGTTGGAACAACACTTTGGAAATGTTTGTGAAGAGTAAAAAAGAAATAAAAACTCTCTAGGTGCCTTCCTCTCAATGTTTTAAAAGGCTTTAGGCGCACCGAGGCGATAAGGTCTCCTATAACCTAAGCGCGAGGCGTGAAGCAAAGTGCACACCTCACCAAAGCGAAGTGCAAGTAGTAGAAGAAAAGCAAAATTATAAAATAGGCAAACTTTTCAACATAACAAATATATATAGAATTTCAAAAATCATAACAATTTCCGATAATCTTTAAACATAACATTCAATCTTCTAAAACCTAGAATATAATATCCAACAAAAGATAAAACATAACATTCAATCTTTTATCACTTTCTGCTCTCTTTTGATCATGTTTGGTCATTTTATATTCAAGAGTTTTGAATCTCTATGGGTATGCCCACCAAAAAAACACTTAATCAATAGTTGGAGTAGAAAAATAGGTAAACCCCATAAAGCCGACGCCTCGCGTATTGCGCCTCACCTCGACCTGTTCGAAGCGCAAGGCTGCACCTCACACTTAGGCATGCGTCTTTTAAAACACTGAGTGTAGAGTTGTGAAAGTAGTATGGAGTTTCAAATTATGTGTTTGGTTATGAATTTTGAAAATAGTTTTTAAATTGAGTTTTGAGTTATGTATTTAGTTACAATTTGAGTGTGGAGTTGTGTTTTAAGTTTAAATATTAAAATTAAAAAAATTAAAAAATTTACCAAATAAAATAAAATATTTAAAAATATTTAAATAAAAATTATATATTTAAAATAAAAATAATAATTTTTTAAAACATTTTTTAATATTTTTAAAAAATAAATCTAAAAATACTATTCCAAACACTCTAAACTTATCCTCCAATCCAAAAACATTTTTTAATATTTTTAAAGGGAAGGGCAATAAAGTAATTTCTGAAGGAAAAAGTGACACCGTTTAGTGACTTTTGACAGTAGGGGGGAATCTTGATATTGTCAGGTAAAGTAGGGGAGGTTACTGTAATTATTCAAACCACAGGGGAGGTCCCTGTATTTGTCAGAAACCTCAGGGGAGATAAATGTAATTTATCCTAAAAAAAAGGGATGCAAAGAGTATCATAACAAGACAATCTGCTCCCAACTAGATTGACACCGACAAACATGTCCATTCATTTACTAGCACCACCCGAAGTTGGTAAGACACCAACCCAAAAAGCACAAAATACACCAACAAATGAACTCCTACAAGAAAACCTGTAGAACAGAGAGATCTATATTAGTCGCCCATTATAGATTTACTCCTCAAACATCATCTGATTTGCCTCAAATTGGTCCGGAAGTCCTGGACAGAGAAGTGAAAGTCCTTACTTATCAAATTAAGTTTTTTTTATTTATATAGATATAGCCAATTTTAAAGAACCTTACAATTTTCCTAATCTAACCATCTATTAAACTAAAATTATTTAATTCTGTTAATAAGTTTTCATTCCCATATACTGAAGCTTTTTTTTCCGTATATTTAATTTTTTGTTTAAACATTAATTTTATGAGCTAATCAATTACAAGCTAATAAAACTTACAATGTTATAATTTAATATTATATAAAGTTATCATATCTATTCATTTTAGTTGCGTTTTCTATAGCATAGTGTTTAAGAATTTTCTTTTGAACTATACAAATGTCACAATATATTTTTTATTCAATTTGTTATAGATAAAAGATTATTCTATTGCATTGTATGTCGCAATGTAATTTTTAAATAATTTTAATTAAAATTATTAATATATTCATTTAATTTAGACTTTCATAGTATAATAGAGTTAAAATTAGATTAATAATTCATCTATACAATTTTCTCTTGCAAATCCCCCCAAAATGTGTTTCTGACCGGTAAAAAAATGACTTGGTAAGAAAATTTCATATTCAGAGGGAATTGAGGAGAAATAATTGTGTGAATATCGTATTTCTGTTAAAATTATTCTTTCATGTCGCCATATTTCGCAAAACATTAAATACTATATATATATAAGATCATTGCCCAGTACAACCGAGCAAGGATCCTCTAGAGTTTTTTTTTCTTAAAATTTCCTAGAGTAATGTATTGTATGGTTGAGATTTAATGATAAGTCGCATCAATTTTTTAGCATTAAATCTCAACCACACAATACACTGCTTTAGAAAAAAAAAACTCTAGAGGATTCTTGGTGAATACAACCCGTCATAACCAACATGTCAAAATGACAGTGATCTTATTTATTTAGTTATATGTGGTGAAGGCTTATTCAGTCACATATTTATATGCATTGCATATTTTTATTGTTAACCAGCTTTTTCATACATTGTGTTTGACTATTTGGAGTCTTCTATCTACGCCACACGAATGAACCAAAAGATAATAAAATGGAGGCTTAATGTTCAATATATTATCGTTTGATAATTTAAGTCAGATTCTTCGGAAGATCCGAAGCGCTAAGGGTTCACACTGACCTGAACTAGACCTCTGTGGTACTGCCCCAATGTGGTATTGCTCTTGAATAGTTTATTTCCAGACTTTCAAATATATATGTGATGGACTCTCATATAGTTTTGGATTAAACTGCAAATCATAACTCTGTTAATCATAACATAAAAAAGACAATTGTACCATCATTTAAATATTTAACTTTCAGTAGCCATTTTTTCCCATCATTTTCTCCACTTGGTGTTCTACCGATCGAAATTTGAAGTGAATTGATTTCGAGTAATACAACCAAGATCACTACACAGGTTTGGTAATAGTGAAATCTCATCAGTGGTGATTACAATCTGTAAAATATTGAAGGGAAAAGGTAAAAAATTGTATGGTTATTTTTTATCTAGGTTTTGCATGTATTGTGTGCATGGTTATTATAATCTCAATCCGGATTGTAAGATATTACGATTCTACGATTTTAGTTGGGCCAAACGATTCAAATTGCACTAGAATCTTAAATTTAGTACGATCTTAAAGTGATTACGATCCTATTCATAAAATTGTGTAGAATCGCATAAGATCCTAATTCTATGACGATCTCGATCCTATACATTTTTTTTTGTTATTATTTATTTCCTATATATATATATATATATGTATGTATGTGTATATATATATACAAAAAAAATTAACTATAAACTCTTTTTTCAAGCTTCTTTTCTAATTTATGTTGACTTCAAAAATGCATTATATCAAAAGTATTGTTTTTCTTTGATTTTTTTAATATTACGTAACATATATTATCATTATTCATAATTTTTTTATTTTATTTTACATTAAAAATAGAATCTTATAATTTTTTATCCGATTCTACGATCTGATCAACGAATACTTTCCAACGATCTCACATAATATTCCGATTTTAACGATGAATTTTAACGACCTCGGCTGTGTGTGACTATTTTATAGTTATATGCTTTGCTTGCATCTATTGTTACAATTTTTGAGTGCTTCCATCGAGGGT